ACCGCGTGCAGAGGGCTGGGCGTCAGGAAGGGCCCCGCGCGGGCCCGCCGCTCCGCTGAGGAGCCGGCCTCCGCGCCCGCAGACCCGGCTGCCGTGGGATAGGGCGCCGAGAAGGACCGCGGGACTGCTGCCCGAGCTCCCAGCACCTCGGGAGCGCTAGGACTGGCATCTCCTACGGGAGGGAAACAAAATTTCAAAAGGAAGAGTGGAAGAGGCTCTCAAGGCCGTTCTCAAGGTGCCAGGACGGGCATTTCCCCTCTATTGTCCCATTCCATCAAACAAACAAAAAAGCCTGCTCTCACCCCTTCCCCCACATCAGGTTCATAACAAAATCCTCACAGTAGCCTACAAGGCCCTGAATGATCTGTCCTGCCTCTGCCTCTCTGACCTCCATTTCTAAGCCCTCCCCTCTACATGTATAGGTCTCCCACGAGCGTGACCTCCAGGATGCAGAGGCCAGTAATGCTCCTGCCTCAGGGCCTTTGCACCTGCTGTTACTGATTCCTACAACGCTCTTCCCTCAGGATTGGTCCACTCCTTCACTTGCTTCAGGGTGCCACGCAAATGTCACAGTCTCAGGGATGCCTTCTCTGACCGTATTTTGTAAAATTGCAATTCATTCCCCTACTCCAAGAGACACTCCCTAGTCTCCTCCCCAAATCTTCTTTTCATTGTACTTGTCAATATCTAATACCCTATGTGTTTTACTTATTTATCTTGTGTGTTACCTATTTCACTCACTAGAATGTCAATTTTGTGAGGACAGGGACTATTTTCACTGCTGTATCCATCACCCATGGGATAGTGTGCTAGGATAGCACATAGTAGGGGCTCAGAAACTTGTATGAATGAATAACAGTAGTTCCCAATGACCAAGAGGCTCCCATGTACCAAGTCCAATGCCTTAAGGCAAAGGCCCACTGAATACTCAAAACTTCCCTACGAGATCGGTGCAGTTATTAATCCCATTTTAACAGATGGAGAAACAGAGGTCCAGAAAGAAGTGAAATACTCAAAATCACATGAAAAGGAATGTCACAGCCAGAATTCCAATTCAGGTTGGTCTGACTCAGAAGTGTGTGGTCAAAACCATCTTCTCACTGTCAGTTCCCTGGCTCTCAGGGCCCCAACCCCACCCACCTTACCTAGGGACTTAGGCCTCTCGCTGGCATAGATGCCCCGGGGTTCAGAGGGACCCAGGCGTCCATAGGAGCCAGATCCGGAGAAGCCACTGTCCCCACAGAAGGTTGAGGGTGGTGAGTCAGGACCTCCTGTAGAGCTGGGGTCTTCATAGAAGCCTGGATTGAGAAGGGGAGAGATAATCAGGGGGCCTGCCTGGGGAAACCAGGGGGTGGAGACCAAGCAACAGAGACAAGGGAGCCTGAGAGATGGGGGACAGTGGAAAACATTGGGGTGTCCCAGGCTGACCCTGCTCCCTTTACCCATGCTCACCCGAGCTGCGCCCGCTCTCCTGTTCCAGGCCCCCAGACTCCAGGCTCAGGTCTCCCAGCTGCTGGCCCAGGTCCCAGATGAGTCCGGGCAAGGCCTCCTGAAGGCATGGTGAGAGCAGGATGGTCAGAAGCCCCACCCCCAAGTCCTCTGCCGACTGGTCCCCTATTCCAGGAGCTCATGGGCAGAGTTTCACTTTGACAATGAGACTCTGACTTCAAAAGACGGGCTAAATCCAGTCCTTACCACAGCCACTTATTCCCTTTTAGGTGTGACGAGGCCTCAGAAGGTCCCATTCCTTTCACCTCCCTTCTTCCATCTGTGCTCATGGCCCCTTGACCCCTATTAGAATGTCCCTCATTGAGTCTAACTTTAGTTCTTCTTGCTGTAAGGGCACTTCACTGCTAAAAGTTGGTGTCCAGGACCTAGCAGATCCCTTAGTCTGCCTTCTCCCAGGTCCTTGACCTTTTCTTCTCAGATGCCTCCATCTTCCCTCCCCCTCATCCACCGGTAGAAAGTTCTTTTGCAAATCTCCCTGAGTCCTTCCTGGTGCAGACTGACCCTTTCCCTCACATGGATAAAATAGGCTGCTATGACTCATATGTTTTTGCTCCTCACTTCAGAAAGAACCCCTCATGCCTAATGGAAAGGCATTCCTAGCCTCAGTGGTACTGCAGCAGGTTCCTTGGCTCCTGGGACCACATCTGCCTCCAGCTCTTGCTCCATTCCCACTCAGAAGCCCCCACTGCTCCTGATCCCCATAAGAAATTTCTGTTGAGTCTACCCTGTCTCCTTCTTGCTGCAGCAAAAGATCGATTCTTATCAGGTGTGAAAAAGTGAAGGTGAAAACCCTTTAAGGGGAGTGTGACAGTGACTGTGGAACTGAACCTCATGTTGGAAATTGGGGCCAGAGGCAGGAAGAGTCTCACTGGGGTCTGGGTGAGGCCAGAGGTGGCGGCAGCTGAGCTGACGGTTGACCCTCAGACAAAAGCAGCTTGTC